CATCGTGTTTAAATCTTCAATTTAAACAGGCCCGATGTTTTCTGAATCATCTTGCCCCTTAAATGCTGCACAGTAGGCCTGGCCGTTTCGATATGTGTGACGCATCTTCCATGTGAAAAATATATCAAATAGACAAGAAAAATGATGTATATATATATATATCATTTTCCAGGATGCTTTCAAGAACTGGCTGTGTTGGTGTTAGATTAGATTAGATTAGGTGGACCACCAGGCATGGAAAATCGTTTGCATTCATTTAGTGCATCCATTTACATTCATTTTCCCCTAACTTTATTTATCAACAGAATTCCGCAAAATGATGCATTGAGCTTTTGTAGGTTTTGTTATTAGCTACAACTTTTGCCAGTAACCCAAATATGTATCTCTTATGCATCACGAATTAGAGCGGGCAGAACTCGTTACTGTTTTTCAGTGAATGTAAAATACATTCACTGAAAAATAGTAGTGGATTCTGTTTGCTCTGGTTCGTGATGCATAAGAGATACGGATTTGGGTTTTTAATAAATGTTGTAGCTAATAACAAGACCTACAAAAGCTCTATACATCATTTTGCGGAATTCTGTTGATAAAAAAGTTAGGAGCAAATGAATGTAAATTAATGCACTAAATGAATGCAAATGATTTTCCATGCCTGTGGACCACATTTACCGATGTTTCACACTAGCCATGGAAGTCTTTCATAGAGAGATATGATTGGACAGGCTGGTAGAGCATGGTATTAAATTGCTGTGTCGATATTCTCTTCTTGGACCTTGAAAATCGAAGACTGGGGCACGCAAACTCTCAACAGCTTGTACCGAATCCGCAGCAGGTCTCCAAGGTTTAGAGTCTCTAGTCGATAGATTAATGTAGGTAAGGGAAGTCGGCAAATTAGATCCGTAACTTCGGGATAAGGATTGGCTCTGAAGACTGGGATGACTCGGGCTATGCTCCCGCTTCGCGGTGGGGGTTTGCCTCAATGCGTTCCTTCGTGGGTGCACGCTTGCGCGTGGGGCCTTCGCGGGATCCCGTGTGTGGGTGTGTGTCCCGCGGGCGCTGCAGTCATCACCAAACAGTCAATTCAGAACTGGCACGGCTGAGGGAATCCGACTGTCTAATTAAAACAAAGCATTGTGATGGCCTCAACAGGTGTTGACACAATGTGATTTCTGCCCAGTGCTCTGAATGTCAACGTGAAGAAATTCAAGCAAGCGCGGGTAAACGGCGGGAGTAACTATGACTCTCTTAAGGTAGCCAAATGCCTCGTCATCTAATTAGTGACGCGCATGAATGGATTAACGAGATTCCCTCTGTCCCTATCTACTATCTAGCAAAACCACAGCCAAGGGAACGGGCTTGGAAACACTAGCGGGGAAAGAAGACCATGTTGAGCTTGACTCTAGTCTGGCATTGTAAGGCGATATAAGAGGTGCAGAATAGGTGGGAACCGGGGTAACATATTATCTTCCCGGCACCAATGAGATACCACCACTCGTACTGTTGCCTTACTTACATGATCAGGTGGAACAAGTGCTAAGGTTATTGCAACCTCCTAGCATAAGGTTTCTTGTTCAGCGTTCAGTCATGTCGTCATTTCTGGCCATAATGCAGAAGACCGAGCCTGCGGTCATCGCGTCCGTCGTGCGGCTCTGGGCGTGCGATCCGAACGGGTGGCTTTGGCTGCCCCAGTAGGGTCCGGCCCTTGGGCCCGTACGGCACACACGACCACAGTTCCTCGACGTTCACACAATACGCCGATGACAGTAAGACATCTGGATACTCCAAGTCATGGACAGTGCCAGGTGCGGAGTTTGACTGGGGCGGTACATCTCCAAAAAAATAACGGAGGTGTCCAAAGGTCAGCTCAGTGTGGACAGAAACCACACGCTGAGCATAAGGACAAAAGCTGGCTTGATCTCGATGTTCAGTACATATTGAGACATCGTACCTAGGATGTTGGAGAACTGTCTCGTGGCCCTCCAGGGCCATGTTTATGTCACGACCCCAAATTCTTTCTTATATCACAGTTCCAAGTGTTTTTGAAAAAACGCGGAGTTCTAGGATCAGTTTCATAGATGAACTACTTTTACGGATGCTTCGGATTTTCCGAAGGTCGGCCCCATGGCCATCCAGGTCCATGTTTATGTTACGACGCCATATTCTTTCTTATATCACAGTACCACGTGTTTTCGAAAAAACAGCGCGGAGTTGTAGAATATTTTTCATGGATTAACCACTTTAAGGAATGCTCCGGATCTTCTCGAGGATGGTCCCATGGCTATCCGGGTCCGTGTTTATGTCACAACCCCAAATTCTATCTTATATCACAGATCCTAATGTTTTCAAAAAAAAAAAAAAACCACAGAGCTCTAGGATCAGTTTCATGGATTGAACACTTTTACGGATGTTCCGGATCTTCCGGAGGACCGTTCTGTTGTCTCCAGGATCCATATATAGGAATCATGGCTATATTCTTGCTAATTATGAACATTTTTGCCCATTAATCTAAATAATAGATCTTAAGCCACTTGTAAAACCCATGAAGACACTTTAAAAAACGTGTAACGACTCTTTTCGCTTTTTAAAAAAGTAGACGACCATATTTTCAATTTTTCTACGATCAAAATAATATACATACCTTAGGAAGTTTAGAAGAAGCACAATTTTTGAAATTCATCAAGAAATGGCTGAGCTATGCCTTTGCAAACGTGCCGTTACACGCTTCAATAAAGTATAAACTAGATTATCCGATCACGTCCAAATATTCAACATTGTTAAGAATCAAGAGCGATTGAAGGATGACAGAATAGTGTAACAGCAAATCAACTACATTGGAACCTTCGAATGCACCAATATGTGATATAATAGCGTTTTATATAAACACATAATATATGGTTAAAGAACTAAAAAGACACTGCAGAGTTGCACCCAGTCCAATAAAATATGGTTTTCACGAGGCATTTTTATTATTATAATACTTTATTTATTTTTGGTTTTGATTTACAATACCTTAAATATACATATTCTTATTATTTCACAATATTTCTTTTACTTGTTTGATGATTAAAGTTCATTTTTCCTTTGTATATGTCTAATTATTGTTATATTTGGTTTTACTTATACTGCAATTAACTTTAACTTGTTCTTTTGTTTCATTTCAATATTTATAAATTACAGTTAAGTTTCTGTTCTTTTTTTTCTGTTTTCTTGGTTTGTTTTCTGCAAGTAAGCATATACGTTTTTCTTCGTCTTGGAATGCTTTAATGCTTAAAATGCATGTCCTATGGTTCTGTTGCATTGCGTGTTCACTTCCCATTTTTGCTCCGTGTTTGTGTCCGTGTCGTGTGTGGGTATGTGTGTTTGTCAGGGTCGATTCGAATGTATGTATGTGTTTGTGTCGATGTTTGTTTCTTGCCTATTGCAAATAAAATGTCTTTAGCTAACAGTCATCATTCTGTTTTTGCCCAAATAATTCATTTAAAGTTACTCTCTGTTTTTGTTTATTTTTTTGTTTTTTAAAACCATTTCGCCTCAGTCCACACGGTTTGAGAGATTGTTGTGTTTCATGTACGTGATTCAGTTTTTTTTTCCTGTTACTTGTACGGAAGAGAAAATCTTTAGCCTAATGTACCTTCAAATAGGAGGGGTAAATTGCGCGTAAAGCAATGATGTTTAAAAGCAGCTGAACGGATCTCGTTTGTTACTGTCTATGAAGGAATGTTTAGTTTAAATTTCTCAATTGTCACATACTTGATTTTTCTCGAATAGTTGTCGTTATTATATCTTGATTTCTGTTTCTTTCGCTAGGGGTGCAGTCTGAATTCTAATTCTTCTACGTGGTGCACTGAGGGCTATAACAAGAAGTATCTTAATTATTGCCTATTTTTTCTCATACTTCCCTCTTGTTATTTTTTGATTGGAAGGTTCGAAATAAATTTCATTCGTTTGTTTAATTATATTTACATGACAAATCATATTTCTCGCTGCATTTCCAGTTTGGTGTTCACGGCACAAACAGCAGCAGAGTTCAAACAACAGGCAAGAGTGGGGAGCGTTCAGCCGTTTTGAAAATTAGATCAGTTTATCAAGGGGAAATCAGGATTACCCTGTGTAGGTTCAACTAAACAGAATGACCTGAAGATGTCTTTGGTTGGTAAACTTTGTATATTGGTCAAATCAAGTAACAGCAACAGAAATACTTGTTTTCTGGATTCGTTGAACAGGTTTACATTGAAATGTTTAGTCTTAACAGTGAAATCACTAGAGATACTAGTTCTAGTAGTTATGATATTTAGTAGATCACTAGTAAATCACGTTTATACTTGCGTCTTTGTTTTTTTTTTAGGAAAGGAAGGGATAGGACTTGAAGGCTTTCAGATGTTTGCGTTACTAAATTTTACACCAATGAAATGAAGTTCGTGGTACAAAATTTAGCCAACACCTGGAGTCTCCTGACATATAGCTTTTTCTGAACATGACTATAGATACAAAGTTTGCTTTTTTTTTCTGTTGTTGAGAGATTTTATACAGAGTTTATCGCGTTGCTAATGCCATTAGAATTTTTGAACTGATATAGCTGAGTGTACAAATACTGTATTTTATGGGAATATTCGTATTCAAATTTGATCAACTTTATAATATGTATATATAATTCAATAGATAGATCATCTTATTTAACGGTAAATAGCATTTTTTTTATAACTTTTCTTTTTTTTTTCGTTTCAACAAGAAGTACTGTTTTCGTAATAATATTTCATCAAACTGATTTACAGTAATCTATGGAATTTTTGAACCCATACTTGCTTCTGACGGAAAATTACCTTAATAATAGTGTCATTCTCTATTTCTTGTGTGAGTGTGTATGTGGAATGCTACTATCGTGATGAGCAACCAAATGCCTGATTGTGAACTTTTGTCCTAGACTTATCCTGTTCGTTCGGTGAGGTGTTCAAAAAGTCAAAAGCTCCTTTGGTAGATTTTATTTTCATTTGTTTTTACTATTTTTACATAGCTGGTTGTGGTCTCGCCTAGGAAGCAGAGTTCAGCAATTCGGCCTTGGAATCGATCCTTCTTGGATGGCCGAATATGCAAAGGCTTCCTCTCGTATCAAGATACTAACATTTTTAAACAAAATTAACTTTGCAGCGTAATCAAACTACAACGTAAAAAAGGGGTTTTTTTTTTGAAAATTGCTTCCTCTATTTTCCAGTATATTGTCCGGAATCGAAAAATCCACACAATTGTAATGAATGCAGCATGCAAAACAAGTCAAGACTTTCGTATTTCTAGCTCAGTTTATTTTTATTATACATTACACCCATTGCCATTCGTTCTTTCAGCATATGTTTTTTTCATCTATCGATCGAATTCAAATACGAAAGTCGTCATCCTTGCCTAATTAAAAAGTCCTAAAACACATTTATTTCTGCTTTACTTCAAGTTGAATTACATTTCACCTTTGATTTACCTACTCACAAACTGTCGGTGTGACTGTCGTCTGCTTATCATGATTTAGGCTATTATTGTGCTTCTTTTCTACGACATCGAATTGGGACCATGTATATTGTTTCTTTTACGTTTTGCTTTTATTGATCTTAATTTTAATCTTTTCGCATTTCAGAGCTATCTATTGAGTTGCATCAATTGTGTGGCTGTGACTTTGCTTGTATGCGTGAATTAGTCGCTAGTAAAGAAACTCATAACCATATTCAACCAATCAACGAGGCATCGATGCTAATGTTTTGTATTTGTTTTTAGTTTTTAGTTTAATGTATCCTTTGTCCGTCACGCAGTGACTCACAGTTCACTTAGAGATATGCAGCGGCTAGAAAAGATGCACAATAGGCGCACTTTCTGGGTTCTCGACCGAATGTTCCGTTCTACTCCACGTTCCATAGTTCAATTTAATACGTTCATAACCCTATCAATATGCTACGCATAGAAAACTGAGCTAGTTTCAAATTTTCAACCACGTTTTTTTTTCTGGAACGCCATTGTCGGAGCCGAAATTTAGATAAATTTCCAATTCTTTAATAACAATTCGAAAAATAAACCCAAAAACCAAACTATTTTTTTTATGGATTTTCTCATTGATTTTTATAACGACCGATTATATAACTCCGTCCAATGGCGTTCCACTAGTGTTTCAACATATTTTCAAGAAAAAACGAAATAAACATTAACATTTTTGTTTCCTCTTTTTACATAAACCTGATAGAGCTTCGTTATTTGTGAATCGAATTAACCATCGTATCAAGATGTTCCATCCAACCTCAACAGTGCCTAGTTTTCGCTCGCCACATCCACTGCCTTGTTCGATTAGTGTATATGTGATTTTCTTTTATTCCTAGTCAATTAATGCGTCCACTATGATTCTTCTGCTGATCCAATCAGTGTCTCTTGTCTCTCGTTTTTTTTTTTTTGGTTTGTTTTGTTTGTTTTGCTATGGTGGCTTTTATTCACCACCACTATCCACCGGTGTTGGTCCGCCTTAGTCCTTCTTGTCGTCCTCCGGGTCTTTCAGGGTGTGCCATTGTGCGATCGGACGTCTCGGCGATGCCAGCATATCGGACCAATGACGCAGCTCCGTACCGCTTGCGTTGTAGCCTAGAACGACCTTACCAATGGGCTCCGACGTACCGATGCGATCGTAATCCACCACAGTTACCACCAGATTCACTTTCTGCGAATGGGAGGTGGTTTGGTTTTTTTTTTGGTTGTTAGAGGTAGAAGAAAATAGCGAGAAGAAACGGGAAAATTAGTTTTGATTAGTAAGCGTATCGCAGGAGGCCGTTTCCATGGTTGAAACACATTCAGCTTTGATTGGATAATGTTTTCTCGCACATAATTCCAACAACAATAGATTTACACCATTTACCAAAGAGGAGCTACGCTACAAACTGTTTTGCTTTTTTTACAGTAAAACGATACGTGAGTAGTGGCGGAAGACTTTTTCAAATCAAATCTAGAAATTTATCTATATCATGCTGCATACAATTTTGTTTAATGTGTAGACGGTTTTTTTTCAGGCAGTAGGTAGCTGGGCCAGTTAGTTATGAAGCAGAAATTACAATTTTGCTTTACTCAACTTTTATAGATTTATAGAACCTAAATTTATTCTGTTTTGCTATTGCAGTTTTGAAGACCAATGGGTAATTGCGAGGCTTAATGTGTAATTGATGAGTTGTAAGTTTTAAGTTAATTGGATATAAGAAACACGAAAGTTTAATACTTTTAAAGGACGAATCATGCCTACTTCCGAAGTTGTCTTCATTTACTACATACCTACATATTATTCTTCACTACGGTGAAAAATTGCTGCTTCGATCAAAACAGACACCCCTATCCAGTAAGATAAATCTTAAAATATGTTTGGGATTATCGCAACCAAATTCGTCCAAATTTGGCACAGTTGATGGGGTTCTCAATACAGATTGAAAGAGCAGTGGGGGAGCAGCGCGTTCCCGAATCGAATGAAAGCAAATCGATATTAAATTTTGAAGTTCCTATAATAATGAGAACTCATTTTGCGTTCAATTGTCGCGACATACGTCTGATATTTTTTTCTGTAGATTTGAAGACACACTTCAAATCTCCACGTACATGGTACGGGCTAGGCAGAGAGTGTGCGTTTGACTTGCACTGTCGCATTAATGGCCCTTCGCTCATTTTCAACTTCTATTCAATTTTCATACTAAAGGGCGAACACGAAATTATTGCGACACATTCAACAGGGCATAACTTTTTTACCATTGGGTAAAAATCAACCAAATTTTGCACACTTTCTAATTGATGTGTATTGTGTACATGCTGTCAAACTCGAAGTCGTGTTTTTCGATTCAACGAAAATGGAGGTGAACCAACGCGAGTTGAGAGAACAAATTCTTTCCAAACACCTGGAATTTCCTGACCTGTCGCACCGGCAGTTGGGAAAAATGTTGAACATTCACCATTCAACCGTCTCCAGAGTGTTGAAGCGGTTCCAGGAGCGGTTGACGTTGGACCACGGCAAAGGAGCTGGAAGAAAACCGGGACCGGAGAACAAAAAGACGGAGGGAAAGGTGAAGCGGATGATTAAAGCAAATCCCAACGTCTCAAGCCGTGATTTGGCTAAAAAGATCGGCATGTCGCAGAGCTACGTCCAGAATGCAGAGAAGAGAGCTGGACTACATACATACAAGGTACAGAACTTCCCAAACCGCGATGAGCAGCAACAATCGACGGTTAAAACTCGGGCACGGAAGCTCTACGAGAAAATGCTGACAAAATATGGCTGCTGTGTGATGGACGACGAAACGTATATAAAAGCCGATTTTAAGCAAATTCCGGGGTTGGAGTTTTTCACCGGCAAGAGCAAGTTCGATGTGGACGACAAATTTAAGAAGAAGAAAATGTCGAAGTTCGCCTCCAAATATCTCATTTGGCAGGCCATCTGCTCTTGCGGACTGAGGAGTGAGCCTTTCGTGACAAAGGGCACAGTAAATGGCGAGATCTACAAATCTGAGTGCCTCGAGAAGCGCTTTTTGCCGTTCTTGCAGCAGCACGACGAAGCTCCGCAGATTTGGCATCATGCCACTATTCTAAAAGTGTCCTGGAGTGGTATGAGGCCAATTCTGTCCATTTTGTTCCAATGGACATGAATCCGCCAAACTGTCCGGAGCTGCGCCCGGTGGAAGTAATGAAGCGGGAACTTCGGAAGAGCAAGAAGACAGTCAAAAATGAGAAGGACATGTTAAGAAAATGGAAAAAAAAAACTGAGAAACTGGTACCGGATGACACTGTAAAGACTTTGATGGAGGGCATCAAGTGAAAATGCGTTCAATTTTACATTCAAGGCTCCATCGATTAACTTTTCTTTTGATTTTTGAAGTAAATATATGTATAGAACTACCCTAAAATTGTGGTTTGACTCTAAACATTATAAGAAAATTGGCATGACATTTTCGGTGTCGCAATAATTTCGTGTTCGCCCTTTACCGTACTCTAACGGAACTATCTACCTACCCTCTTCTAAGACCATTCTCTAGCTAATAAATTATCACACTAAAGCTTCATATTAGATAGCATTTTCAACCAATTCTGAAATCGGAAACTTTGCGTATGAAATAACATAAAAACACTTTGAATCTGATATCATACTATACTTTCACTATGCAGTCAAGAGTTGTTCAAATGCAAGCAACATAACTTCAAGTTTTGCTGTTAACGTCTTGTTGAACTACCATTTTTAATGTTTATTTGTAACACATTTTAGGTCCCGGACATGTCCGGGCTGGGTTTGAACTCAAGTCTTTCAGCGTGAAAAGCATGGATGCTAACCAGTCTTGTAATCGGCCATGGTAGTCGACACATTTTCTGTGATAATCGACTGCCTTTGCCTCCGACACTTGCAAAACAAGCTATCATAGTACAGCACCAAACTGAAATGTCATATGACAAGCTCTGTCATACGACACTGTCGCCGAAGACCGTCATGAATGTATGTATTTTATTAGTTTTTATCATAATAAGAGCTGCTGATGTTATGCTTGTGTGCAAGCAAATAGCAAGCAATGATGTCCTAGTAATAACATGTCTGATCAGAAATTGTTTAATTTACACCAAATTAAGGAATTGGTGTCAAGTTTTGAAACCACCCCAGCATGCTTTTGACGCTACTGTATATGGACGATCAAATGCAAAATACTGTGGTAGCCACAGCACAGTTCTGTCAAAACCTCAGCATTTCCATTGATCCATTAGAACGAAATCACACATGTCATATGATAGTTATTTGAAAATTTTATTTTTGCTCGAATGTTATTCTACCGTTTGTTTTGTGTGCGAGCAGTGTTCGGAAAATCGTTTCAATTACAATCTCATTGAGCTCTCATATGCTCAAAAACTCATGCATGATTTATAACACCAAAACTCATGTATGAATATTGTATTCCAATAACAAATGAATCTGTGAGCTGAACCAAGCAGTGTGAATCTCACAATTGATTTTGGCGAACCATTATTCCAACTCTCTTACGAATGAGAGAGGAAGAAAATAGCTTGGTTCATTACAGTGGCGAGTTAAGTTCATAAGAGAAGCAAGCTGCTCAGTTTCATCCTCTCTTTGTTTCTTCGTTGAATTGATCAATTTAGATGGTCAAGTTTTGAACTCACCACAGCATGCTTTTGGCGCTACTGTATACCGACAATCAAATGTAAAATACTGCGATAGCCACAGCACAGTTCTGAACCTCAGCATTTTCATTGATCTATTTGGACAAAACTTTGTCAAACGTATTACTATTCTAGTCGTGCAAAAGCGAAGAAAATTGCATTTCCGAAAATGGATCGGAACACGCAGAAAGAAAAGGTGGAAAACTGATCGAGGCCACTGCAGGTATGTCCAGATCGGAAAAGTGAATCACGATAACTTTCTCAGACATGTAAAATCCTAATATCCACAGAAGCTGGAAGCTATTGGTCTACCATCAACCCCGATTAAAATTGCCGAAGCTGATGAACCTCACACTCCACACAAGAAAAAACTGAAAAATTGTTGGTGAATACGAACCGAGAGACGGCAATTAACCACTTCATTGGAGCAGTTAAAATGACGTTTACTACCACTTGAACTTTGAAATAAAACATTATTTTGAGACTTTTTCTTCTAGAACCACGAGAAAAGTAGCCAACATTACAGCGATTTATAAAAAAAAAATAGAAATTAGTTGGTCCAGTTTTGTGAAATCGCTGACCATGCAGCTTGCGACGGTAAACTCGCTACCGCTAAACGTTCCAGAGTGGATAGGTTTTCAAACATTGGTTAAGTGTATCCAAAAAAATTGCCAGAGGTTTAGTCAGAAGCAGCGGTTCTTGCGCGGCAAGCAATTTCATCTGAAATACAAGTAAAAATGATAAATGTAAAAATTGACAGTGCTTCTCGTTGAAATCATCGTTCCCTCAGGGTTACAGCGCAGTATTACCATAGAGGTATTACCACGAAGGAAAGATTGTTTGTCGTTGTCTAGGTAAGCCACCAACTTTATGTTTAAAATACTTTTATACCTATACATTTTGTTAATTCATTTCAGTGGTAAAAGAAATGATCGGTAGCCAAACATCCTCAAAGCTGCAAGATACAATCGAGCAAGAGGTGCTGAAGATATATAACAAAATGTATACGATCACAACCGACCGCGGTCAGAATATGGTGGCTACGGTTACGCATATGCGGAAATCGCAAATTGTTAATCATGAATCCCGACTATTCCTACACGAAGAGTATGCTGCCATCGACGCCGTTTACCAATTCACTGAAACGTATCGCAGGATAAGTCTAGCCGAAACTGATGAAGTGTTAAACGATCTAGACGATGAAGAAGATGAGGGTAAGTGGCATACTTCTAAAATTGGTGAAAAACTAATTTTATTCTCCTATTCAAGGGATGTTGTAGATCATTTTGGGGGCAATCTTGTCCTGATTCATGGTTATGATTAAAGTTAAATTCCAAGAAGTGTACCGTATGTGTGATAATGTTTGCACCATCGTACAAATAAGGTTCCCGTTTCACCTGTGCATAAAATGTCTTGGTTTTCTTTGCATGCACGTAACCTACCGTAGTAGGCTGTGTATAAAAGAAAATGATTTACTTAGTTCGACAGTTGCACCATGACGAAGTGGCAGCGTATTCGGGATTTTTCCCT